TGGGGGTTCACAAATTAAAAAGGCAACCAAAAACAAACTGAAAAAAATGAAACTGGTTAAGAAAAAAATGGGAGAAATTAAAACACCTAATAGGAGAGACAGGAGATAGAAAGTAACATAGGAGCTGGAAAAGTCTAATTGTTCTTTCAGAGCATGTATGTGGGAGGCTCTCCAAGCACACAGAGAAAAGGACCAGGATAAATACAATGCACGTGGACTGATAAGACAGTCACACAACACAGGTCCAGCCCACGAAGAGCTGGCGTTTCTAACCTGAAATTCTAAGCAAGCCATATAATTGGAAAAGAAAATTCCTGAGCTAAAAAAAGGAAAATATTCATTCCAAAAACTGTAAGAATTCACTGTTTCTGAAAGAAACTTCTGGAAAGAAATCTATGCCTAGACTTAGTCTAAAGGACTACCTTAGTTTAAAGAACTACAAAACAGATAGACAGACAATATCAGGACAGAAAAATAGTTTACCTACAAATAATCAAAAAGAGATCAACTTCATTTGCTCTTCCACAACAAGGATCAGCAGAAGATAGGAGGGGGGGGGCATGTCGACAATGCGCATTTCTGACTCTTCTGAATCTTTTCTATCTGAGCAGCTGTGGGCAGAGGGATGCACACAGGAAGTAGTAAATCAGTGTGGTCATCAATGAAAGAAAAATTGTACAACTTAAATACACGTCTTCCACATCTCTCTAACCTCTTTATCACACCTTTTTAAGACTCAGCTTTCAAACCTGTTCACTAATTGGATATTTCTCATTCCATCAAAGGATTCATATGACTTCTAATCGTTCTGAGATCAGTATTATGACTTTCAAAATATACATATATATACATATTTACATAAAATAAGACTTTACAGCAGCATGAATGGTAAATTATTACAACCCTTGTGGTCTGAGCTGATCCACCACACACTGGCTGATTTTGAACAGTGAGACTCGGAGAACCAACTCTAGTCAGCACATATGCTAATGATCCCAGAATATAGAAACTATGACCTTGGGCAAGGGCAGTCAACAAATAAAAAAAGTACAGAAGAGCATAAGCTAGAGACTCATGCCAGCTTGAATACAGATGATAGATCAATGCGTTTTAAAAGACACTACCAAATGTGCTGATTCCAGCTGGGTGGTAGGGGTGGTATAAATGACTGGACATTTTTATAATGGAAATGGAATTCCTGTCATTGTTTTTCTTCTTTTAGAGTCTTTGTTCTGTGATTAGATTAGATAAATGCTTCTTTCTACAAGCCTTTCATCCAGCCAACAAACAGCCCAGTACTGCTGTGGGAGTTCCCAAAGGAAGAAGGGTCACACTTGTCCTAGGAAAGTCTGGGGAGACTCCATAAAAGTTGTACTTGAACTGAATTTTAAAATTTGAATAAGGCCTGCCAAGTTGCGAGACAGAGGCACTCCGAGAAGAAGCGAGGACTCCTACAAAGACAGGGCCTGCCATGAATGGACTACCTTAATAAAACCAAGTGAAAACCCAGCAGTAGATGGGGCACAGGTTGTGTGGCATGAAACAGGTGCAAATAACCTCCAGAGGTTCCCAACTTTAGAGGAAACACTCTCCAAAGAGACATTCGGAAGTGAAGGGAACCTAATTGAGTTTGTAGTAGAATCGAAGAGGGGTTATGATGTTACTGCCATTGAGCACTCAGAGATCATAAACATCCTATAATGCAAGGGACCGTCCCACACAACCTTAGTAGAACAAACTAAAATAACCCATTGCCCTAGAGTCTAACTCACAGCAGCCCGACAGTCCTGAGGAGAAGTGCCCCTGTGCATTCCCAAGATGGTAGAGCCTCACCTTTCTCCCTGGGCGTGGAAATGCTGACCTTGCAGCTAGCAGTCCAATGCACTAGCCACCAGGGTGCCTTAGTCCTACCCAAATGCCAGTTGAGCCTCCTTGCAGAACCACTGGGAAGGGAGTGAAGGCTTAACAAAGTCTGGAGATGCAAAGCCACACTCACTCACTAAATATGGACTTCCCACGGGCAAGAGAAATTCAGGTCATGATAAAACGAAGCGTGACTAGAAAGATGAGGTTTGGGTTTGTTGTATCCTATGAAGAGTTTTGTACTTGTTAAAGATGGGCAACAGATAAAGTTCTGAGCTTCCTGTTTTCTTCTTCCCTTTGACTATCAGGAAGCTCAGAACTTTATCTGTTGCCCATCTTTAACAAGTACAAAACTCTTCATAGGATACATTTCAGTACAACAAACCCAAACCTCATCTTTCTAGTCACGCTTCGTTTTATCATGACCTGAATTTCTCTTGTTTTATATGCAGTTATGTCATCTATAAATGTATTACGCCATGTGCATATTAATGTACAACAAATACTTTTAGGATATAGTAAATTATACTTCTTAAAATAGAAAAAGCAGAAGTAAAATAGAAAAAAATAGAAATGATAGGAGCTAATCCTAGAATTAGGAGACCAGAGCGAAGATCAGAACACAGAAAGATAGGGAAGGCGGGGTAGGGCAATATATCTAGAAATAGGTTGAAATGAGGCAGGGAGGTAAAGAAGAGAAGTACAGGAAAACGTGAAAGTGAGGGAATCAGAGCAGAACAGTTTATAAATAACCTTAAAATTCACAACGGTGGCCAGTAGGAAACCATGAAGGAGTCTTGGTAGCATAGCGGTTATAAGCAGGGCTGCTTAACTGCAAGATAAGCAGTTCTAAAACGCCAGTCGCTTGGAGGGAGGAAAATAAGGATTTTCTACTCCTGTAAGGACTTAAGTCTCGGAAACTCACAGGGGCAGTTCTACCCTACATCAGCATCGACTCTACAGCAGTGATTTGGTTTTGGTTTGGAGGAAACCATGTAAGCTCAGACAAAATATTAAATAACCAATAACTTTCCTGAAAACATATTATACAATACTGATATGAATAATTTTACCTTTGAAGTTAAACTTATTAATAATAAGTATTCTTCCTATAAGATCAAGCATTTCAGACTTGAAACAGTAGTTACATTAAAGGACCACAGTTCTGCTACTGTTTCCTAATTGGAACACTTTCAGGTGTTTATTATCCACTCCCCACTCCTCACTCCTCTTCTCTCCATCTGTTTTACACCCAGCCTACCCGGTGAGCCTCCTCATGGTCTAGTGGTTTACAAGTTGGGTTGTTAACTGCAAGATTAGCAGTTCAAAACCATATGACTCCTGAGGGAGAAAGATGGAGCATTCTAGCCCCTACTCTTATACAGAGGCAGTCCAAACCTCTCCTACAGGGTTGCTGAGTCGGAATCAATTCGATAGCTGTGAGGTTGCTTTTTTATTACTTAGCCCTGGAAGACAATTGTTATTTGTTATTCAAACATAGCCTCAAACCCTCCAACACACAATCAAATTGGGCCCAGTCTTAAGCAACTTACTTATATAAACGTTGCCCCACTTGTTTGTCCTAAGGGGCTGCTTTTTTTCCCCAGAAACACATCATCATTAGGAACTGCTCACAACATACATACAATTTGTCACAAATGGATGACCAACCCGGTTGCTCCATCACACAGCCAATTCCCAGTTAGCCTTATCCTAAGTGCAAATGAGTGCTAGAGGATAGAGGTAAGCCCAAACAAAATCCCAAACTCACTGCCAACTCATAGCAACTCCCGTGCGTTTCTGAGAAGGTAACTAACTGTACACCGGAATGGAGGTGGGGAAGGAAAATAATCAGGTAACGTTCCAAACCCCAAATTATCTAGCTGAGATCTACTTCCAGTAAGTTTTCTTAATTAAATATAAATGCTTAACTCTGTAATTGACATGATCATAATTTTAATTTAATATCCTTTTTGTTTGTTGGCTATTTGACGCTTTGTAAGCAAAGAGAAAGGATTCTACTTGGGGTCTTAAGATGTATTAACACTCAGGGCCCTTTGCTTACCATCCTAAAAAGTTTAGACTTAAGTTTTTGCCTCGAAAGACAGAAACCATTGACAAATTATAAATGTAAAAAGTTACAAACAGGACTTTACAAAGTGAGTCTTTGTCAAAGATTTATCCAGATCTTCCACCAGGGAACCAGCTGAGCAGTAGAGTTCAACGCATTTCAAGAGCTGAGTATAAACATTTTAAACATGTTCTTACAGACTACTAATTTAGAATCAAAAATGGTTAATATCCCAAAGTGCTGTAAAATACATAACCTTCTAGGGTTTTAATTCCCGCCCCCCCTTTGGTCCTCTCAGTCAACATATGTATCTTAATGTATCATATGTATCTGAATCAGACAAAATTAAGTCCCATCAGAGTTCGGCCCCTGATGAATACTATATCAAACTAATATAGTTGCCTAAATAAGTTATCTTTAAGTGAGCTTGTTAGACAATGCTCCATCCATCTTGACTTTGAAAGGACACAAAATCAGCCATTCTTTTGCCTTATTTCCATTTTACTATCATTGAGAGCGAGTTTCTCAGTTAAACTGTTCCTCTTCCACCCTCGTAATTTCGGGAATCAGGAGTGGATAGGTTATTATGGAAGAGAAGAAAAATCGCTGGCTATAAACATTATTTTTCCTGACACCTAATGAATCGTAAAACCTGTCACTGCAGTTGAGGGAGATTTGAATATTGGAATCGCCAGCAAATTGATACCCTTTGTTTCAACGTTGCAAGGACTGCCCAAGAGTGTGCAAGCTTTAAATGCATGGCAACTGCCCAACACAGAGGGTGAGCCTTCTGGGTGGCGGGGAGCCCACAGGGTACGCGCTGCAGGGGGATAATCGGGTCCCAGGGCACCGTTCTCCCTCTCCTCTCGCAGCTCCCGCCCGGCGCGGCAGCCGAAACAGGGCCTGCATTTCACCGGTGGGAGCCCCTCACCCCGGCTCTTTTGTTCAGGACTGGGCTGCTTCCCGCCTGCCCCCCGCCCTTCTCCGCCAGCCTGGGGCGCATCGGGGGCCCGGCGGGAAGCGGAGGAGGGAGGCGGGAGCCCGCCCTGGCTCCGGGAGTACTCACCCCTCTCCGCTCGGCCCCTGACCCCGCCCGCAGCCCAGCTCGGAGGGGCGGGGCGATGGGACTGAGGGAGGGGGGAAGGGAGAGGGACCCATCCCTCCGTGAGGCCGCGGCCCTCGGGAGCAGAGCTATGGTGCCCCATGGGCCACGCAGACGCCAGCCAAGGAACCGAGCCAGCGCAATGGGAGGCCCACCCGCCACGGTGCCCGACCCTCCCTAAGGCGCCGCCGCCGCCGCCCGAGACGGAGTTGGGGCATGCGCACTGCACCGCCTTCGCGTCCCAGGGACCATCTCGCGCCGACTGCTGACGTCAGGGGCCACGCGCCCAGGGCCAGAGCCGAGGGGCGTGACCTCTTTGCTCAAGGGCGATGTCTGCCCCGAGGCCCCGCCCCTCGCTCCGGCGGGAGGGGCCCCGCCAACCGGACTGGGTAGTGTTCTCCGTGGAGCACAAAGACGGCCTCTTGAAAGGGGTTCGTGCGTGCGGGTGATCTCAAGGGTACATACTTCGACACACCCTCTTGCAACAGATAGTCAAGTATTTAGAGAAGAAAAGGGTGACCAAGGGGGAAAGAGTAGAGCGAAAACGTGGGCTGAGTACATAGTGTCCCTAGCATCCCTCCTAGAGGTTCATCGCACTCCGGCCGCTGTACACACGTACACAAGGCACCGCAAACACCACAACAAGCAGGCACAAGCATCACTATGTATCTCAAATTTAAGGGCAGAAGGAGAAGAGTGAAGAATTCTAGTATTGACAATAGAACCATCTGTGGTACATCTCAGAGAAAAAAAAATTTTTTTTTTCCTAGCAGTAAAATTAAATTTGGGGACTACGGTGGGGGAAAGATGTAGGAGTAACAGGGATTACCAAAGTGAAATACTGAAAATGCACCAGCAGTCATCTGAGCGAAAAATAGCATCTGCTCCTTTTAACACAAGGAATCGAGTAATGTGCAAAGAAAGAAACGAATGCCGGCAAAGGAACCTGCCTTGAAATGTACAGGGCATGGTTTGGAGCCTGTACTATGTGATAGAAGATGTAACCATTGCTGGGAGATGGGTACATAGAACTCATGTGTCTTTTGGGGGGGCAGCAGCAAAATCTTGTGAGTACAATTCTTTCAAAATGAAGCATTTGAAAAGAAATACAAGGATAATGAGAAAACAGGGTGGCGGGGGTTTGGGGTGCATATCCGACTTCTGCTGCCTTCCCTATTTCCATAAGGAAAGGTCAGGCTGCCTCCACTCTCCATCCTTTACCCTATTCTGACACCAATCCTTCCTCTTGGCACTCTACTATGCTGGGTTCAATAATTTGTTGCAATGGCCACATAAAATTCATGACCTGGGTTTATTAGAGGGGTTACCAGGATACCAGGAGTCAGGATTAGTAAACAGTGAGGATATAGTCATTGGCCTACATCAGTGCCTCACCTCTGCTAGCTGCCAAGTCTCTATGGTCCTCAGCATCTAAGACACATGGCCCCTTGGCCTTTGCCTCCACGGCCCAGGAACCCTATCCTGCTCTACCTCCTAGTAACATAGTCTCAGCATTACCCCTCTGCTCAGTCTCATGGTCTCCTTGCCTTGGCCTCTGGTCTCACCCTGGCTCCTTTACTTTTTCCCACAGTCTCCATTTTCAGCGGCTAGTTTACTCAAGATTGGGCAGCCTATAACTTCTGTGCTTTAGGGTTGTATCCTCTCCATGCTTATTCCATCTGTATGCTGAGCAAATAATCAGGGAAAGTGGGCTCTATGAAGAAGAACTTGGGATCAGAATTTGAGGAAGGTATATTAACAACCTACGATATGCAGATGACACAAAATTGCTTGTAGAAAGTGAGAAGGAATTGAAGCACTTGCTGATGAAGATCAAGGATTGTCGCTTTCAGGATGGATTGCAACTTATTGTAAAGAAACAAAAAATCTTCACAAGTGGACCCAGTAAGTAACATCATGATAAATGGAAAAATGATTGAAGCTGTCAAGGATTTCACCTTGTTTGGATCCACAATGTTCCTGGAATTAGCAGTCAAGAGATCAAATGGTCCATTGCATTGGATAAATCTGCTGCACATGTATTCTTTAAAGTATTGAAAATCAAAAATGTTAGTTTGAGGACTAAGGTGTGCCTGATCCAAGACATGACATTCTCAATGGTCTCAAATGCATGTAAAAGTTGGACATTGAATAAGGAGGGCCAAAGAAGAATCGGTGCATTTGAATGTTGGTGTCAGTGAAGAATTAAAAATACCAGGGACTCCCAAAAGAACAAATCTGTCTTGGAAGAAGTGCAGCCAGAATGTTCTTTAGAAGCAAAGATGGTTTGGTGGGGAGGTGGGTGTGGGAGACCTGGTAGGGCA